GAGAGAAAGGCGATCCTGAGGGGGAACCGCCAGAACGCTGAGATGGAAAGAGCAGCGCGGCTCCAGACGGGTCAGTGCCCCACCACCCCCTCCCTGCCCTGGCTGCCCCAGTGCCCAGCTGTGCCTCTGCAGCCTTCCTGTTTCCCTGCAGTGCTCATTCCCCTCGATGAGGTGAGGGCGGAGTGGGAGAGGACCAGCGGCCCGTTCCACAAGCAGCGCGTGGCCGAGCACTGCGGGGTGTTCAGGGACCTGTTCAAGGGGGCCACCTTCACCCCATGGGTGGCCCTGAGGGTGCACTACAGCCAAGAGGACGATTACCTCGTGCCAGTCTACTATGGGAACATGGTGACTCCGTCAGAGGTGCGTGAGGGGGGCTGGGAACAGCCTGGACCCCGTGGGAAGCCTGTTCCTGTCTGTCTGTTTCTGTCAGATGCTTCCAGTGTTCCTTTTACTGGAGCATTTCCTCTGTGCTGAAGGAAATGTATTTGATGGACCTGATAAGGACAGATATTTGCAGCAGGATGGTTGTCTGTTAGCAGGCTGATGGTTATTAATGCTCTGGGGGCAATCCAGGTGGAACTGGATTCCAGTGGCCTGGCTGTGCCCAGTCTTTGTTGTTTTCCAGCCTTGCCTGTGACAAATTCATGGAACCTGTTGTTTGAGTGATTTACCTTCTCTTTATGTTGCCCTTTTAGGCTTCCAGTCCCCCTGCAGTGTCATACGAGGCAGATAAAGGCTCTCTCTGGACCTTGTTGCTCACAAATCCAGGTAAGCAGAGAGTTCTTTAAAAAAAAACACATTTAAACTGGGTTGTTTCACTCTGCTTTTGGTTAACTCCTGTTTCTTTTGGCTGCATAGTCAAAGGTGATGTGATATCTGCTAGGGAGGGACATGTAATATGTAGGAAAGACTGTAGCCTCCTCAGATCTGTAGCAGTTGAGAGAGAGAACAGTGACACAACAGGACCTGTGTCACACCAACAATTCCCTGACTCCCATCCCAAAATTCCTCTCCCTTGTCAGTCTGCCTGGAAGGCAGGTTTGCTAACACTGTTCACCCTGAGAAACCAAGGCACAGTGAAGGGAAGCAGATGACTGAGAATATTCCAAGAATCTCAGAATTAGATCTGCAGAGTTCTTTGCTCCTCATTTTAAACTCAATCCTATAGGAATGAGCTCCTTTTGTGATAGGAAAGGAATGCTGGGAGGTCTCAAGGTGTTCCCACTGATCAAAGCAGGTCTGAGCATTCTCACTTTGGGGTCATGCAAACACCAGGGGGTCCCTAAGTCACCTTTCTCTGTTGTGTGTTGGCAGATGGACATCTAAGGGACACAGACTCGGAGTACCTGCACTGGCTGGTGTGAGTACAACAGAGCCACGTGCCCTGTGCTCAGGGCATGGGCAGGAACTCCCCCAACAGCTTGGGAATCCGTGGCTTTCCCTGGTGCCCCTGCCATGAGCTCCTGTAGCCCCCTGTTCTGGGTCCTGCTGAAGATGCAGGAGTTCCAGGTGTTGCTGCTGTTTGGCATTCTAATCACTGGATGGGATTTTTCCTCCAATGAAAGCAGCCTCTGCTATCTGTTCCCTTATCAAATGGGGCAGAAGTCACCTCAAAACGTGGCAGAGTGATTCGCAACCCTGGGTGAATCTGCTGGAGGGAAACGAGTGGATACACAGCAAAGTAAATGTCTTTGTGTTCAGAACCAACATCCCAGGCAATGACATCAAGTCAGGAAAGGAGATCTGCCACTACCTGCCCCCCTTCCCTGCCATGGGGACTGGCTACCATCGCTTCATCTTCCTTCTCTTCAAGCAAGACCATCCCATCGACTTCCGCGAGGACACTCGGCCGATGCCGTGGTAATTCTGCTGTTGCTGCTTGTAGTGTTCATCTGCCTGTCACTGCGGTAGGAGGGCAGTTCCTATCACTCCACAGGGTTCTCCAGGGCTGCTTTGGGTTTGTGTGTCCCCTGCAGCCACAGTCCCAGCCCCACAGAGTCCTGTTGCTGTGGAACTGGACTGGGGCAGAAATGTGCACAGAGCTGGAGACACTGGGAGATTTCCTTTTGCTGGCTCCATTTTCCCTCTGTTTCATAGGCTCTGGGGTGATGTGGAGCAGTAGTTGCCTCCCAAGATGCTGCTGCAGGGAGAGGTTCACCTCAGCCCTTGTGCTTGTGTCTTGTTTCCAGCTACAGCCTCAAGATGAGAACCTTCAGCACGTTTGACTTCTACAGAAAGCACGAGGACGCCATGACCCCGGCAGGGCTGGCCTTCTTCCAGTGTCGGTGGGACAGCTCTGTCACTTCCATCTTCCATCAGCTGCTCAGTAAGGAATGAATGCAGTGTGTGGGGATGCTGGAGGGGGTGGGTGGGACACGATCCCATGTGGCTGCAGGCTCTCGCTCAGGCCTGGGATGTGTCTGGGATCAGCATGGACTGGGTCCTCCCTGAGCCACCCTCCTCCAAACGGCAGTCTGAGGGAACAACCTCTAAAAGGCTGCTTGGAATGAGCAGCCTTGTTCCCTGGGGGTGGAAGGGGGCCTGGGTTGGGATCTGAGCCCTCGTGCTGAGGTTGTGGGTCCCTCCTTTGCAGACATGAGGGAGCCGATATTCGAGTTCGTGCGCCCGCCCGTGTACCACCCTCGCCAGCTGAAGTTCCCACGCCAGCAGCCCCTGAGGTACCTGGACAGGTACCGGGACACGGAGGAGCCCACCTACGGCATTTACTAGGAGCTGGCCCCCTCCCAGCGCTCTGTGCCCGCTGGGATGCTGCCTCCCAGCTTTCGTGCACTCCCTCAGCGCCTCTGGAGGGAGGTGACAGTCTCAGCCCCTCAGCTCCCAGATCCCCTGGGAAAGGCAGCCAAGGGCAGCAGGTGCTCACAGTGCTGGAGCTGCATGGTCAAGAGGCTGCTTAATGAGGACATTTGAAGTGAATCCAGGCTGAAATCTTGCTCCTGATTCTGCAGCAGAGCTGATCAGTGGCTGGCAGGGTAGAGTCCCCCCAGAGATGCCCTGCCTTGCTTCTCTGCATGGATCACAGTTCTCCTTTTGCCTGTTTAGGGAACAAACAGAGCCAGGCCAGCCTGGATTTCCTCCTTTTAACAGCGCTGCAGTTCAGGGCTGTGTCAGCCTTTATTTGTGCAGTCCCCTTGGAGAGATGAGCCTGATTAAACACACTCTGAGAAGTGTTGGCAGAGCTGTCTTTATTGGGAAGAGCCTCTTATCCCAGCCAGCTGGCACAGAGCTGGGGAGCTCAGCAGGATGCAGGGGAGAAGGGCAGCCCTTTGCCTGGCTGGACCACTTTCCCTCTTGGATATTGTGGGTTGGGAAGTGTTTGGCTGCACAGGCAGTAAACCTGCACAAGGTCAGTGTTTGTGGATCTGGCTTCAGCTGCCCAAGCACACGGACCTCAGTGTCCTTCCCCTCACTCCCTGGACAGGATGTACCTGGTGTGGACAGGTTGAGCACAAGCACAGCTGCTGGGGTTGGGGCAGACCTGTGGTGGTGTCCTGGCACTGCTGCTGCTGGTCCTGCTCCAAGGCTGTGGAGTTCCTCTGCTTTCTGCTGTGCTCTCCAGGGCTCTCCCTGTTCACATGTTTAATCCCCAAAATACCAACGTGCTCCTGCTGTTAGAGCTGCCTGTTCCCAGCTCTGCTTCCCAGTGACTTTCTCTGCAGGTCCCCCTTTCCTCAGCAAACACCTGAGACTGGGCTGAAGTGTCCCCTTACTGCTGGTACTCCAGGTTGTTACAGTTTCCCTGGAGCTCCCTGAACTCCCCTCCCACCCTGAAGGGTTCTGGGGTCTGGTTTAAGCCTGGGGGAGGGTGTTGGAGGGGTGCCCAGAGGTTGTGTTATGCCCTTCTCTGAGCTTTGAACATTTGGTCAGAATTTGTAGATCCAGCCCAAAGAAATGTGTTGGGGACTGAAGCTCTGCTGGAACGTGCAGGGAGTTGTGACAGGTCCCAGGGGTGGTCTGGGGGGTGGCTCTGAGCCTACCTGTGGTACAGAAGCTGCTCCAACAATCCAAGAGCCCCCTGGTGAGCACCCTGGATGCACCACAGGCCTGCTCCCTGCTTCCCCTCACCTGTGCAGGTGAAAGTGAAGCTGTTCATGAGGGGAGGCTGCAGAGCTGCTGCCAACTGAGGTTATCCTGCAGTGTCAGCAGCCTGGGAGTGCATGCAAACAGTAGCACAGCAGCGGGATACAGAGATAAGGGTTGGGTGGGGATTTTGGGTGGTGCTCCTCCTGAAACTGAGCTGTGTGACAAGGTGAAGGTGTGCAGTGCACAGACAGTCACACAGAAGGCTCCACCTGCCCCCTGAGCAGGGACTGGTGGCCCAGGTGACATCTTTGTTGTGTTTCGAGGTGCTGATGCACACGGGTGTTGCAAGGAAGTTCGTAGGAAAAGGTGTGGTGGGTGTGCACGGGGACATGCGCAAACAGCAGGAGCTGGAGTTCAAAATGGAACGATGCAAGGGTGGAATGTGGCCCTGGCTGGTGCTGGTGTGTGTCACAGCCGTGTCGCTGCAGAGGGAGGTGACATGTGGCTGCAGCAGCAGTGGGTGCCTCTCTCTGCTGGTTCTCACTGTACCAAGGTCTCTGTGCCAGGGGGAGCTGCCGTGCTGTGCTGGGGGATCCAGCCCTGGCAGAGGTGAGGATGCCTGGGAGTTCCCTGAAAGGGCAATAAAGGAATGAAATCCAGATGCACATCGATATGTACCTGTGCAAGCACATTCACGGAGGTACACACTGCTCTGATCCCTGTCAGCCTCCTGCGTGTGTCCCTGTGCTGCCACTGCAGCATTCCATCCTCTCCAGAGCCTCCTGCTCTGCTTCACAGCCTTCCCTCTCCCCGAGGGGAGCAGCTCCAACCCTCCCTGTCACCTCGTCTCCCCAGCGTGTGGCACACCCAGCGTGGCCAGCGGGCACCCACTGGGTGTCTCTTTAAGAGCACGTCCGGCTGGGAGCCCTGACCCGCCTCCGGGCACAGCGTCACCATCTCCTCCTCCCCTGCACAGCTGAGTTTCTGTTTCTCCGGATCCTCGCCCCGATCCCCGGCACAGGCAGGATGGCATCCCTCGTCTCGCAGAAGCTGGAGGAGAAGCTGGTGTGCTCCATCTGCCTGGACCTGTTCAGGGTGCCCGTGACTTTGCCCTGCGGCCACAACTTCTGCAAGCGCTGCATCAGCGACCACTGGCACAAGCGAGAGCGGGCGCCCGCCGGGGCCGAGAAGGGCTATACATGCCCCGAGTGCCGCAGGGACTTCGAGCAGTGCCCGGAGCTGGAGAAGAACGTCACCCTGTACAGCGTGGTGGAGCTGGCGAGGGACGGGGACGCGCGGGGCGCGGGCGCGGGCAGGTGCGAGGTGGCCCCGGGCGAGCTGTGCCCGCAGCACGGGCGCCCGCTGGAGCTGTACTGCGAGGACGAGCGGCGCTGCATCTGCTGCGTCTGTATCGTCTGGCAGTGCCAGGGGCACCGGCTGGTGCTCTTCGAGAAGGAACGGTCCAAAAAGCAGGTGGGGACGATGGGCGGCAGGGATGGGGCGATGGGAGAGCGAGCAAGGGGAGTCACAGCAGCTCGGGCATTCACTGCCCTGTGCCCTGCTGGGGGGATGTGATGTGCCTCCGGGTGCCAGGCTGCGCCTGGCCTCAGCTGAACAGGGGGTTGGCCAGGATGTGCCACCAGTGCCCTGCTGCTCCCTGAGAAACCAGGTGCTGTCAGGAGCAGCAGCGAGCTGGGTAAATCCAGCAGCGCTGGATGAACGCTGATATATGTGTTTATGATCCTCTGATCTAGAGAAAACAGATAAAAAAGAGGTGAAAGACAGCACAGAAAATCACTTCTTGGTGACCCTGATGCAGTGTCCCCTTCCCAAGGCTTCTCCCTCCCCATTAGCCTTGTCCTGCAGCCCTGAGAGGGCTCCTGGGGGCCAGGTGGGCAGCAGTGCTGCACTGCAGGATATGCAATGGGACACAACTGGAAGAAAGGACTGGACGTAGCACTTAGTGCTGTGGATTAGTTGGTGGTGTTAGGGCAACGATTGGACTTGATGACCTTGGGGGTCTTTTGATTCTTTGTTGGTGCCTCTCTTCACAGATCATTTTGAAAGGGTCCCTGGAAAAAGCGCAGGAGGAATCGGAGCGGATCGAGCGGGCGATGCGGGAGCTGGAGGAGCAAACACGCAGCATCAAGGTAGTGCTGTGGCCACCTCTGTGCTGGGCACGTGGGTGGGAGCACACTGGCTCTCATGGCTCTTCCCTACCCAGGACTCCTCCGAGGAGCTCAAATCTCAGATCCAGAGCAAATTGGCCCACCTGAAGAAAGCTCTGGAGGATTTCGAGGGTCAGTCAGTGGCCAGGATCGAGCAAGAGCAGGTGGTGGCACTGGGGCGCGTGGAGGAGAACTGGAGCCTCCTGAAGGACAGGCTGGATGTCCTTGGCCAGCACAGGGAGAGGGCTCAGAGCCTGCTGGCCTGCCCTGACCACAGGACCTTCCTCCAGGTACCATCCTGACGCTGTGTCACTCTCTGTGCCTGGGCACTGCCAGCCCTGCACCCTTTCAGTGAGGGCAGAGGTGTGTTCAGCCCCTTTCCCAGGGAGAACACAGCCCGGCTCAGGGATGTGATGGGGCTGTGGGGAAGAGCTGTTCTGGTGGGACTTGTGTGGACAGTGCTGTGATCCCGCTGTCACCCACTGGGGAGTCACAGTGTGTGCACATGGATTCGCACAGTCCTCCCCAGGCTGGTGCATGGCTGTCTGTGTGTCTGTCCACAGGAGTTCCCCCTTCTCCCACCTCTGGAGAGCCCAGAGGTGCTGGCCCCCGTGGAGTTTGATGTGGCTCATGTGATCAAGCCCATCTCTGACATCCTCACCGGCATCTCCAGGCTCCTGCTGGAGGACCTGCCTGGCTCTGTGGCCCCCAAAGCCCCCAAAGCCCCCAGTCCTGCTGGCCAAGGTAATCCTACTGCTCTCAGGGCCACCGAGTCATCCTGAATCCCAGCCTGGCCCACATCACGGTGCCAGGGACCCAGCTGCCAGGCTCAGGGGGTTGGGATGGGGACACATCTACTGTTCAGCAGATGGGGTGGGATGAACTGGGTGGCTTCCCCATGTCCCCTCCTTGCTGGGAATGCTGAAACAAGTGGGCACATGCAAGAAACAAGTTTTTTGGGTGGCATCACTCAAAATGCCTGTTCCCATCCTCCACAGGCCCAGTGCATCCCCAGGCGCCGGCGGTGAAGGTCTTGAATCCTCTCCCTGAGTGCCAGCTCCGAGCTGAGCTTCTGAAAGGTGAGGAGCACAGGAGGGCCTGGAGGGACAGGGGGACCCAGCTGGGGTCCCCAGCAGGCAGAGATGTCACCAAGCTGGGCTCCTCCCTGGGAGAAGGATGGTTGTGGCTGCAGGGACAGGGGTTCCTTCCACGGTTCTGCCAATCTCTCTCCCTAAATGCGGGATGGGGTGGATGGGCTGGGGGACACTGTGTGTGTGGGAAAGGGCTTATTAGGGGGATTAGCAGCACCAGGGAGTGCTTTCCCCTGGAAACTGGAGCTGCCTGGTATTGGATCAGTCACTGCCCTGCACAGCCCAGCCCTAGTCCAGTGCCCTACCTGCAGTCGTTGCTCTCTATCCAGGGATATGGCCTCAGCATTCCCTGTCACAGTCCTTCATATCCCCTTCCCTTCCCGGGCCCATCCCGCTCCAGTTCCTTAGGGATTTCCTCACTGCTCCTTTTCCCATCTCCTCCCTGTTGGGAAGAGGGTTGGGCAAAGTTCAGGGAATGTTGGTCACGTCACTCTTGCCAGCGAGGCAATCACTGCCTATGGAACCTTTAATTCCTTTTATTAGTCCCAAAAAAAAACGTTCTTAGGGTTATTAATAGGAAAAACCCCGTTATTTATGGGCAGAAGGCAGGAGCCCAGTGAGCTGTGGGCCAGGTTGCTGTGGGAGAAAGGTGATGTGCTGGTGACCAGTGAATGCCCATGGCAGGAGTTACAACAGCCCATGCACAAGAGAGTAACTCCCTGCAATACTATATTTATTTGCCTGGTTTTCTCCCCCCCTCGCCACCCACGCTCGTATTTTTTGCTCATAAAACCAAGATCTCTTCCAAAATGGCCATGGAGCCGCTGGTACTTGCTGGCTGTGAGCTGGGCTGTGCAAGGACTGCGTGAAGCATTGTGTCTCAGTGCTTTGCCAGCTCTCTCTGGGCTGCTTCTCTTCCTTCCAGGGCAGGTATCTCATCTCACCTCGCTCACCTTCCCCTCCAAACAAACTTGTTCCCTTCTGTTTCGGGAGCCAGCCCTACACAGTTTAAAACCCATCACTGCTGGGGGGGGGGGGTGTCACACCAGGGGCATAAAGATCTGATGAATCTTTTCAGCCCCATCCATGCTGTTGCTCTTCCCAGACCACCGCAACCTGACCTTCGATCTCGAGACGGCCAACAAGTACCTGGAGCTGTCGAGAGGTGCCCGGAAAGCCAAGCACTGCACCACCCCCATGTACAGGGGACAGGGACCCCGCTTCGAGCCCTGGCAGGTGCTGTGCACGCAGAGATACGGCCCAGGACACCACTACTGGGAGGTGGAGATCTCCAGCCACTCCGTCATCCTGGGGGTGACTTACTGGGGCCTCCCCTGGGAGCAGCAGCGGGGCCACAAGTTCAACATCGGGCTGGATGGGGGCTCGTGGGGGCTGCAGGTGCGGGAGGATTGTTACCTGGCCTGGCATAACGGCCAGGCGGAGAAAATCCAGGAGCAGCTGTACAAGAACCTGGGGGTCAGCCTGGATTATGACAAGGGGCTCCTCTCCTTCTACGGCCTCGGGGAGAGGATGCAGCTCATCCACTCCTTCCACGATGTCTTCACAAAGCCCCTCTACCCTGTGTTTTGGCTGTGTGAGGGCCGAGTGGTGACGCTGTGCTGGAGGGACCGAGCTAGAGCCGCCACACTGATCCGTCGGCCAGGCTGGTGCCACAGCCAACCTGCAGCCAGGACCTGTCACAGTGAAAGGGACCTCGATGCCGAGGCAGGCACGGCACATGGTGCAATATTTTAACGAGAGCTGATGAGGACAGACATGAAAATTAACCGATTTAATTTGCATATGCAAATATCACGCTGCTGACGCAGGGAAGGGGAAGGAGGCAGGGCTGGAGCTCACCCTGGGGGCAAAGCCCCTGGTCACTGTGTGTGAGGGCACATGTGGGTGCCTGTCCCTGCAGACGGAGCAAGGAAGGGGGAAACAGGGAGTGAAAGAATTAAGTTTTCCTCTTTCTCCTATCCCTGCCAGACCTCCCAAGCCTGGAGAATATTTGGGGTGAGAGAGAGTGTAGAAAGGGTGCTGCTGCCACAGAGTGCTGTGGAGCAATGCAGAGGGAGCCCTGTGCTTGCCCAGCCTCACATGCAGGCAGGTCCTGCTCCCCCAGCCCCTCCCAGTCCCCTCTTGCCACTCTCAGACATGGCAGAGGAACTGTTCATGATTCTACGCTGCAGTTCTTTGTATGATGCTGCTTTTCTCAATAAAGCTCTATTTCCCTACAGGTTTGACCTTAGTGCTGGTGGGAGATACAGGACCAAGCAGCATAGGGGGAAGGGGAGGGAAGCTGGGTGCCCTTGTTCCTGCACCCATCCCTGCAGGGCCCCATCCTGCCCCTCCATGTCCTCGAGGGGTTGGTGACCAGCCCCTTGGAGGGACCAGCTGGCGGAAGAACCAGAAGGTCCTTTATTTACCGCAGCACTGTGATAAGGAAACCTGGTTTCCTATGGCTCTGCCCCAAGGCTGATCTGGCACAGAAGAAAATTCTGAAGTTTTGATTGAAGCTTTTCCAAGGGCGAGACCGCAGGTCCGGCGCCTCCTCCCGCTCCCGCAGGAATGCTGGTGAGGGATAACGGGGTGAAACTGGGCACTGGGATCAAAGGGGCTGGGGACGTGCAGGTGAATGCATGGGGAATGAATAACATCATTGTTTCCTTTGGGGACAAAAGGCTTAAAAGGATCAAACCCCTTCTGCAAGAACAGATGTGATTTTTCTTGCCATGTTTCCTCCTTCACTCCACACCTCCCCACCCTCCCAGCCCTGTCCTTGGGCCAGCGTGGACCTGGGAACTTATCCAAGTCAAAAAATGGTCTGCACAGGAGGGGTCTGGAGACACCATACTTATGAGGCAGATCCTCACACTCAAAGCACTTTGGTGTCTCCCCATCTCTGCTTGGTGTCTTTTGGGCCCTGGAGGAAGAGGGGACAGGGTCTGAGCCAGCCCTTTTTTCCATGGGAATGGCTGATGTGTGTCCAAGGGCACGGGGCTGGCAGGAAAGCACCTGCAGTTATGCACGGGGGGGCCAGGACCTCCCATATAGCCTCAAGGTGGGGAGCAGCTCCTGGGGAGCAGTGGGGTGGCAGCAGGTCCTGGGGTAAGGGGATGCTCACAGAGGACAGCAGACCCTTTGGGGTGGGTTTGGAATGGGCTGGCTACAGCTTCCCGGGATGGGAGATTTGGGGAGGGACAGCAGCTTCCCCTGGGAGCAGCAGAACCCTGGGAAGAGTCCAGATCCCAGTGGGGCAGATCCTTTAGGAGGTGGCAGACCTCCCCCAGAGGCTGGGGGGACAGTACATCTTTATCGGGGTGGCATCCCCCGGAGGGCTGGGGGGCAGATCTCCCTGAAGGCAGCAGATGCCGGGGAGAGGAAGCAGATGCCCGGTGGGGGTAAATCCCAGGGGTGAGAACTCGCCAGGAAGACGAGTGACTGGGAAGCAGGTCCAGGGGGTGAGACACCCCCAGGAACGCGGGTGCCTGGGGACCAGGTCCAGAGGGTGATGGTGCGGGTCAGCCCCCAGCCCCCGCGGCGAGCGGAGCCCCAGCTGGGGCGCGGGGAGGCGGAGCGGGCGGGCGGGGCGCAGCAGCCACCCGCCCCCGCCGGGGCTGGGACCGGGGCCGGGGCCGCTCGGGGCGTTCAGGGATGGATGCTGCGCCCGGGAGTGCCCCGCCGTCCTCCGCCGCGGCGTTGCGGCTGGCGCTGGCGGCTCCGGGGCTGCCCGAGGGTCCCCTCGGCTGCCCCATCTGCCTGGACGTGCTGCGGGACCCGGTGACGGTGCCGTGCGGGCACAACTTCTGCCAGGGCTGCCTGCGGGCGCTCCGCCAGCAGCCGGGCCCCCCCGACGGCGGCGGGGCGGGCGGGGCCGCCCGCTGCCCGCTCTGCCAGGAGCCCGTCCCCGCGTCCCTGCGGCTCCGCAAGAACCGCGCCCTCTGCGAGCTCCTGCCGCTGCTGGCGGCCGCCACCGGCGGCTCGTCCCCGCCGTCGCCGATGGCCCCGGGAGCCGAGGAGGAGGATGGCGGAGGGGAGGCGGGAGCGGCGGTGCTGTGCGACGTGTGCCCGCCGGGGTCGCGGGCGGCGGCGGCGCGGTCGTGCCTGGTGTGCCTGGCGTCGTTCTGCGGAGCCCACCTGGAGCCGCACCGCCGCGCCCCCGCCTTCCGCGCCCACCGCCTCGTGGCCCCGCTGCGCCGGCTGGAGGAGGGGCTGTGCCCCCGCCACCTGCAGCCCCTCGACGGCTTCTGCCGCGCCGAGCAGACCTGCGTGTGCGCCCGCTGCCGCGCCCACGAGCATCGCGCCCACGACGTGGTGCCCCTCGAGCAGGAGCGGGAGCACAAGGAGGTGCGTGCGGGTGGGTGTGTGGGAGGGGGGGGGCGCGGAGGTCCCCCGCGTGGTTGGGACCCTGGCGTGGGGGTGTCCTGGGTGGGGTGGGGTGCAGCGTCCCTTGGAGGGTTTCATGCCGCACCCCTGTCCCCAGCGGGGAGCCTAAATCGCCACGTGGGGTGTGTGCAGGTGCCGCGCTGGTGGGATGGCGTGTATGGTGTGTGCTGTAGCCCACACCCCTCGGGGGACCCCACCCCGTATGGACAGGGTGCTGTGCCGTCGGGGAACCCCGTGAGGTGGGGACAGGATGGGCAGCTGGGGACCCGCTGCCAGCCGGCCCCTGGGGATTTTTCCCACTGTGGAAATCCCGTGGGTGTAGGGCTGGGGTGGGGGTGCCTGGGACACCCTGCAGTGGCCGCCCCCGCGGTCACAGGGCACCCACCTCCCCCGTCTTGTTCCCACAGCTCCGTCGAGGCGGTTTTTCCCGACTCCTGGCAGCCTGCCCGGCCGCCGCTCCCGCTCCCCCAGCCCTTTGTATCCCGGCGTTTTGGCAGCGGGGTTTTTTTCCATCACTCCCATTCCCAGATGTGACTGAGTCACCTCCTAAATTCACACCCACGAGCCTCCCCGGGAGTCGGGGCTCCAAGCCCAACGTGGTGCTGCCTTCCTGGACGCTGGTGCCTCATATGTGTGGGGCCTCTGTGGGGCTGCAGGCAGATGGGAGTCTTTGAGGCTTGGGGTGTGGTGACACCCTGCATCGGGATGAGGCATTCTGAGACCTCGGTAGGGTTTGCTTTTTCCAAGGAAGAGCCCAGGAGCTGCGGACATGCTGGCAGGGAGCACAGAAACAGCCCCAAGCCAGCTCCCACTCTCGCGGGTTCTTGGGATTGCAGGAAAACCCTTTTGTCGGCATTATTAGTCATCAGGTGCCTTAAAATAGAAAGTGAGTGTGATCCCAGCCCCGGGGGAGCTGTCAGACCTCAGCAGACACTGCTTAACGTCTCCTAGATGGCCTCTGCCACTGCCCTTGCGCTGCAGGCTGGGAAGGATGGACGGGGAAAGCACCTGTATCCCCTCACTGGGGACAAGCACTGCAGAGAGCAGGGCCAGGAGGCCGAGCACTAGCCCCGGTTGGGAAGTGCAGTGCCCTCCTGGCTCCCCAGGGAGCTCGTGATGGGCAATGGCTGGCGCCAACAATAGCACGCCAGGAAACGACGTGTTCGGAAGGTGCTTCCTTTGCAGCCATGCAGCACCTCTGTGCTCCAGAACTGGTTTGCTTTGCTCCCAAAGAGAAACCCCCGGGGGACTCTGTGCTGTGTTTCTGAGTGGTCCAGTTCTGCCTTTCAGCTTCTCCACCAGTCCCAGGTGTATTTTCCCCAGCCTTGGGATACACACTGAGAGCACACGGCTTAGCTGCGCTTGCTGCAACCACTGCCCGATGGGTTTGCTTTCAAATTCCTGTTTGTTTGGTTTCCGCTGGGACCAGGGTGGGGAGCATGGAACTGGACATGACCCTTTGTAGCCCGGCTGCTCCTTTAAAGGTTTCCCAGCCCAGGGAGAAGGGATGTTTGCAGGTTGGATGTTGCAGGGAAGGAAAACAGGAAAACAACTCGTGGTTCCCCCTGTGTCCTTCACCCGAAGCCTGACAGCAAGGTCGTGGTCAGAGAGGGTTGAACTTAGGGAGAGGCTGGGTGTCCTGCAGCTCCCTGTGGGATCAGGGGCAAAGCTCAGTGTTTGTCCCTTGTGTCCGCAGGCCCAACAAGCCAAATTCCTCAGCGATGTGGAGAACGAGCTGGAGGAGCTGGCAGTCACCATCGCCCAGGCCAAGAAGTTGGTGGAGCTCATTAAGGTGACTGTGCCATGGCTTCGCTCTGCTAGTGCAGCTCTGCTGGGCTGGGGAGCGAGGGGAAGGGGCTGTGAGCTTTTGGGGTGTGTGGGGTGTAGAGTTGGTGCTCACAGGGCAACGTGCTCCATAAAACCACAGTGACCCTGGCAAGGATCCCTGAGGATTCTTTGCTCCTCGTCTCTGCTAACCCTCACGGGATCTCTGGTTGCTTTTGTTTGCAACCTGGAAGAAGGAACAGGGCAAGGACTATGCCAGGGTATCCTCTGGCTCTTACACCTTTTCTCCTTGGCCTCACAGGGGTTTGGTCCCCTTTGGCCCTTGTGCCACCACGTCACTTCACTGCCTGGGGACACCAGGCGTGGTGCAGCAGTTAAGTGGCTGTGCCCAGCGAGATCCCTTGATAGCTGATCTCTGAAATGATCTGAGCTCTTGGATGAAGGGACTGACGGGGTGTCAGAGGGACCCCAGAGAACTGAGAGGTGGGTGCTGGGCAGGGGACAAGGGTGCCCTCCTGCACCTTCACCTGTGGGACCTGACCTCTCTCTCACTGCACTCAGGGTGCTGCCACGAAGGAGAAGGAAAGGGTTGAGAGGCTCTTTGCAGAAGCCTCTGAGATCCTGGCAACCTTCCAGAAGGAGGTGACAGGTTTCATCGAGGCCGGGGAGCGCTCCATGCTGGGGGAGGCTGAGGCTGATCTCCACTGGAAGGAGGAGAGACGAGCCAAGCTGGCCCAGGGCAAGCAAAACCTGGAGAACGTCACCAGCACTGACACCATCTACTTCCTCCAGGTGGGATGGGGCAAGAAGGAGCCAGTAGTATTGTCTTTTGGGGTTTTATCCCACTTCCTGAGGAGCTGGAGGCCAGGAGCCCTGGGATATGTGGGCTGTAGAGTCTCACTGCTGTTGGCACAGTCCTCTCCCCTCCCCACTCCCAGGAGGACCAGGCAGCCAAGACTTTCTCCTCCATCCTGTCTGTGACTCAGGGGAAGCTGATGTGCTGCCCAGGCTGGGTACCTGGGCGTGAGGGGCAGAGAACAAGAGATTGGGGTGCCCCACTGCCCCCCTCTAGCCTTCCCCCCTCCCTGACAGCCCAGCAAGAGGAGACCTTTTCAGGAGGAGATGCTGCTCCATGTGAGGTGGGCATGGTCTGGGTCCAGGTTTGAAAGGCAGCTAAGAGCAGGTTCCAGGAACATGTGGCTGGGAAAGAGCTCTCCTCCCTTGTGAAGGCTGTCCTTGGGCCAAGTCCATCAGAGCTGCCAGTTCCCAAATCCTCCAGGGCTGGGTGGGGTTGCGGAACAAGAGACAACTTTGGCTTGTTTGAAAACTCCTGAAACTCCGTCTTTTTTGGCTCAGGAATTTCAGGCCTTAAAAGTAGCCATGGAAGAAAAGCTCTCCCCAGCTCCGAGCTTCCAGAATGAGCTGAACTTCACCAAGTGCACCCAAGTCGTGGGTGCTGTGAAGGATGTGCTGTCCACTGCCTGCAAAAACCAGTGGAACCACTTGCAGGGGAAAGGAATTGATGGGCTGAACTACCAGGAGATGGAGGAAGGTTTGTGCTCACCCAGTGCCTCTGCCTGGAGGTCTCCCCATCACCCTCCCCCTCCTCCCTGCATAGCTGGGAGATGTCTGTGGGCTCGATGTCCCCCATGAGCACTGGCCCCTCTCCTTCCAGCCCTGGAAGCTGCTCAGCACGGGTTCCCTGCACGTTGCACAATCCCTGTCTGGGCTTACGCCTCTTTGAGGTTTTGTGAATTTTTCCACAGAGACTGGAGGCTGGAGAGGCAACAAACAGCCTGGGAGTTAGGCAGGGCCCTGCGGGAGAGGGCAAGTGGCCAAAGTGGCCTCCTGTGAAAGGGGACTCTTCTTCCCAGGATAGATGATCCTCTTCATGGGGCAGGCTGTGATCTCCCAAACCTGCCAGGGATAGAAAGCCAGTGTGGCAGCTCTCTCCCGTGCTCTCTCATTTAACCTGAGCTCTCTCCTCACTCATTTGCTCAGATTCCCATGGGAATTGCAGCCAGTTCCTTGCCCCGCTGCCTGTCTCCCTGGGGTGGCAGAGGTGGTGTCTGTCCTTTTGTGTGTGAGAGCCATCAGGGATGTGCAGGGGGAGTGGGGATGCAGGAGGCACGGGGGCCACATCAGCTGGGTACCACCAGGGTGCTGGGCAGGGGGTGATGCTCCAATAACACCCTTGTTGGTTTGGTTCCTTGGCTGATGCAAACCCTTCCGTCCCTGTCTCTGCAGTGTTGGCTGAATCCCGGTTTCCAGACAAGTCAAACAATCCCGCCTGCCTGGAGAGCCGTGATTATTTCCTGAAATGTAAGCGAGGGACTTCTGCTTTGACAGTTGTTGCTAAGGTCCACCTTCCCTTTCCTCTCTCCTTCCCACATGCCCGGCCGACGCTGATCCCGAGCCGACAGCTGGCAGGAGCGCTGCCACCACCAGAGGAAATATTGCTTGGCAAACAAGGAAGCCTCCTTGCTTTCCTGACAACAGTCATAATCTGGTTATACTGGTGATACTTTTTTTCCCTTGTCTGTGGTTCTGCTGGCCCAGCTGCCCAGGAGGAGGGGGCTGCAGGCATCCTGTGTAATTCCTGCTGCCTTCTAGCCCTTGACAAAATTGGATCCTCTGCTAAATTAGATCAGAGTTTGTGCATCTGCCTTGTTTGCTGCAGAGCACTGGGCTAGTGAGGGTCGTCTGCAGCATGAGAGGGATCATGCAGTGGCTGAGCAGGGTGGGGCACAAGGGCTGAGGCTGAAGGGTGCAGGGCTGGGCTTGAGCTCCCACACTCCACGTATGTGTTTCCCCCCAGCCTTACAGGGGTTATGGGGTCACCACAGGGATGTCCACAGGGGACAAGATCTGCTTTGGTGGTACAGTGCAGCCCACTGGGATCTGTGCTCAGCTTGGTGTGCTCTGCTGCTGCTGTTGGGTTGGGACACACTGTGGTTCAGACGTGCAATGCAATCGATAGCAACAGATATCCAGGGCTGTTCCCACTGGATCTGTTTGTGATCCACTGGTGGTTCTCATATGGCCTTGCATGTTGGGGGCTGCATCTGCTCATGTGGGAGCTACAGTGCACTGCAAGCTGACCACAAGGAGCGGTCAGTTTGTAGCTGTGATGTGCCTGATTGGTCTCCTGTCTTCTCAGGGTCTCTCCCTGCCAGGTTTGTCTGTGGTTACTGGAAATCTGCTTTTATATGGGATTTTCCTACCACCACTCTGTCAGGTGGATGCTCTAATGTCATGGTATCATAGTTGAACTCACTGAGCAGCCCCTCTATTCCTTCCTCTACCCTGTATTCATCCTGCTTATGGGAGTATCAGCTCTTTCAGTCCCTGATCCTCATTGACTGAAATTTGACACGGGATTTAAAAGCAAGGGGAGTGACAGGACAAGTCAGAAAGGATCATGCTATTTGTCAAAGGCTGGGGCAGAGGGATCAGAGCAGGGAGGGCTGGGAGGATTTCCCTCCTCATCCTCATTTCTCCTTCTTGCCCCACCCAGTTGCCTTCATCATTGACCTGGACAGCGACACGGCTGACAAGTTCATCCAGCTGTTCGGCACCAAAGGGGCCAAGCGGGTGCTGTGCCCCATCCCCTACCCGGAGAGCCCGACCCGCTTCATCAACTGCGAGCAGGTGCTGGGTTTGAACCTCATGAACAGGGGCAACTACTACTGGGAGGTGGAGCTCATCGACGGCTGGGTCAGCATCGGGGTCATCGCCGAGGACTTCGACCCGCGGGAGGCCTACAACCGGGGCCGCCTGGGCCGCAACGACAGGTCCTGCTGCCTCCAGTGGAATGGGCAGAACTACGTGGCCTGGTTTGGGGGCTTTGAGTCCGTCATCCAGCAGCCGTTCTTCCAAACGATCGGGGTCTTCCTGGAGTATTCGGAAAAGGCCTTAACCTTCTACGGAGTCAAGGACTCCAAGATGACCTGCCTGCAGCAGCTCAAGGTCTCCCCTTTCACCAAGGGAAAGGCTGACCCGTTCCAGAACAAGATCAACCACCACTTTGGCTCTCTCTTCTCGTGCAAGCTGAAACCAGCCTTCTTCCTGGAGAGTGTCGATGCCCACCTGCAGATCGGGCCGCTGAAGAAGGACTGTGTCTCGGTGCTAAAGCGCCGGTAACTGCCCGGACAGTGGGAGCATGGGAAGGCCCAGAAAAGTCTCTCCTGCAGGTTATTGCCACCATCACGGCCTCCCTTTGTCTGTCTTTGTGGCAGCCCTCCCTCCTCTCTGTGCTGTTGGTGACCCAGGGCTGGATGAAGCCGTCTGGTGGGCAGAGCCATGGGCTGGGAGCCAGGATGGGGCTGGATCCAAGCACCGGCTCTGCCGCTGGGCTGCTGAGTGAACTTGGGTGAGTCTCTGTGCTGCTCCCTGCCCCTCAGCTTCCCTTTCTGGACATCAGGGACTGTGACAAGCCTTTCTTGGTAAAGTGTGCTGCTCGGGAGAAGTGCCACATGGGTTTGAAGCTGTACCTTGGCCAGCTGCCCAGTCCCCCTCCTTCCCATGTGCTCGCACTGCCCTGGCGACTTGCACAGATGCTCTGCTTTGTGCCTTATCTTGGGCTCTGTATCACTGATGCTTTTTTAAGTGCTGGCTCAGTGACACCTTCCACATGCTCCTTATGAAGTGCCTTTGACCCAGCAAGCCCAGTGTGGACCAGGTGAAACCCCAAAGCAGTGCCCACATCACCGCCGTGCCTTGGCATGCGTGAGAGGGATGTGGAGGAGCCTGGCAGGGTGCTGGGTGATGCTGTGGTGATGCATCACCACTCCTTGCTGGGCTGGCCACCCACTAGTGCTGCAAACATGAAACAAAGATCTGTGCCCTTCCTTGCACTGCAGCCAGTGGGTGTTTTGGATGCTGCTCTGTGGCCAGGCTGGTTTGGGAAAAGCTGTGGTCCTGCGTGTGTTGGAGCCGTGTGGCCACAGGTCTGATCCCCACCACAGCTGAAAATCCCAGCTGGGAAAGGGAGAAACTTCCTGTCTGGAGAAGGTGAGGGGAGCAGCACAAACCAAATTTTGAGGATGTGCTTTCAGTAGACGCATTCCTTGGGAACTGCTTCCCAAAGCTTTACAGCCAAATTTCCCCCCTCGTTTTTGTTGACCCTACTATTTTAAAGGATTTTAATGCTGTTAAACTCCCAGCTCTTCAAGAATCCTGGGTACACTTGAGCTGCAAATGTGCCCCTTAGCTTAGAGAGTTTTTTTAGGGACAGCTGTGAATGCATCAATAAAAGATGCAGCATCAGTCAGTTACTAAATGACCCTTTAGGCTCTGGAAATAAGTAACAATTAACAANAGCTTTACAGCCAAATTTCCCCCCTCGTTTTTGTTGACCCTACTATTTTAAAGGATTTTAATGCTGTTAAACTCCCAGCTCTTCAAGAATCCTGGTGACAGAGGTGCTGTGAATATGTCCCAGGGACAAATGGTCTGTTTTAGGGACAGCTGTGAATGCATCAATAAAAGATGCAGCATCAGTCAGTTACTAAATGACCCTTTAGGCTCTGGAAATAAGTAACAATTAACAAAAACTACTCTCAAGCAAGAGAGAATACTGTTCCCTTCAGGAAAGGTGGAAACTTGAAGCCGAGAGCCAAAAATGCCAGTTCATGTGTCCTAAGGGAGCTTTTTCAGAAGAAAAACACAGAAATACTGCCTGTATGGGTGGCACAGAGCAGCCCCTGTCTCAGCACAGTGTACCTTTCCACAAGTTTATTTTTTCTGGGATTATTTTGCTACCTACCTCCCAAAGCTTGCTTTACAGAATCGTAGTGCTGTGTAATATACACCTAGAGAGAAAATATAGAGGGTCAGGCTCTTTGCTGGCATGAGCGAGTCAGTGATGACGCAGCAACAGTCAGCAGGGGTGGAAAATGGCCCTTTTAGCTAAATATATGAAATATACATATATTTTCCCCAAAGGATAAGCTGGAAATCATAGTGGTATATTCAAGGGGAGCCAAGGGAAAAAAGTGAACATGAATAAAAGGCAGGCACAAAGCCAAGAGGTTTGAAGTTAGAGCCACGTTTACATGTAAAGCCACGTTTACACACTGAGGCTTAAAGAGCTCCTTTACTGTGACTCCTTTGCCAGTGCTGCCAATTCCTGCTGGCATAGGAAGAGGTGCCAGTCCCCAGAAAATTGGGACATCTGAGTGGATGAAGGGTCTGAATGTAGGCAACCCCTTGCAGGGGCTTGCTGGGATCTGTCTGGAAATTCTTTCTCCTCCTCCTCCTCCACATGCGGTGACTCCTAAAATGCTGCAAGCAGTGGGGAAAGGAGCAGTAGGGCTTCCAGGGTGAAATCTTCAGCTGAAATCTTGGCCTTTCCTGGCTGGTGGGAATGCGGCCCAGACTTCTGTCCAGATGGGAATTCATTCCCTGTGCCCTGAGCTCCAAACCCGCTCTGTTTGGCTGGCACCAGAAGCGCTCCTGCAGAGCTCAGCCCTTGCACGAGATGTCAGCGGTGACACAGTGCAGGCGTCGCTGCTGCTTTGTGAACACCGAGGGGAACTTGGGATCGGAAATTCCTTACTGGATAAGAAAGGTAGAGGCATGCAGCAGCCTGCTCGCTCGTGGTCACGTCCTGGGAGGAGGAGGAAGGTAACCTTCCTCTCTGCCGCTCGCCGTCACGTCCTGGGAGGAGGAGGAAGGTAACCTTCCTCTCTGCCGCTCGCCTACAGGAAGGGATGTCACATGAGGGCCCCCATCTCGGCTCTATCTGAGCCCTAAATCTCATTTATTCAGGCAAAACTCCCACCGTTTGCGGCGAGGAGTTTTGCCAGAGTAAACACGGCAGATCTGGGTCTTCGCCCTGTTTTGTTTGCATTGATTGCTCTGAGGGGAAACCCACGCTGGAGCTGCGCATCCCACCCTTCCCCGTGTTGCCCAATGCACATGCACAAACCTCTAAACTCCTTCAGGGTTTGGGAGGTTCTGGGGGGATCCTATCCTGCCTCTTTCCATCCTGTCACCACGTGGGAGCAGCTCAGGAGGACACATCTGGTGTTCAGGCTTTGCGCCTGGTTGTGCTGCTGTTTTGGCTGAACTCATCCCTGCCTCGGGAGCTGGGGTGCTGGGATGCAGCTCCACGGAGCGTTTGGGGGGTTCCTGTGTGTGTGCTGCAGTTGGGAAGTGCTGTCCAACCCTCCCCTTCCTGCTGCTTGCTTTTGTCCTGGTTGGAAGAGCTATAAACCCTCCTGGTTTAGGGCATGCAGCAAATTCGGACCGATTTAAGACAGGAGGAGTCCCCCTGGGAGCTGGATACGAGTTTGCTCTGTGCTGCCAATAATTTGGGGTGTAAACTGGAATGACTGGGAAACGTGCACAACGCCAGCTCTGGATCCCTGATTTTGGTGTAAACAAAGGGCTAAATGCGGTGTGAGATGAGTTTAGATGGATTGATAGCACTTGGCAACTTAAACAGCCTTTCCGTGTTCCCTTGAGTTATTTCTGCTGTCACAGAGTGTTCCTCTTTTTAATTAGGATTTTTTAAATATAGCTACTGTAGAGTATTTTACAGTGTGTGAATAAATGGTAACAGAATAATATAATGATGTTAGAGATTATGATTTGCCATTAAATACCATACAGATATCGCTCTGGGTTGTCTTTCCTTTAATTACCAAACCATTCGAGTTGTCCCATTATCTCGTGTTTATTTTTCTGTGTCCTGTACGCAGATTTTATTTTCCAAGTTTGTCTAAGGGAATTTTGCCAAATACACATCTTTATTGCTTGGCTGCAAAAGGAGCGGAAGAATAATAAAATCCAATAACAATATTGTCAGCCCTGGGCAATTCAAAACAATGAATTGTCTCAGTCTTCTCTTCTGTGTCTGTCCTCAGCTTAGAAACAACAAAGATGAACAGATTAGGTGGTTTTTTTCCTTTGTGTTTTCAAGTTTTAGAGTATAAATTTTCAAGGTTTTCTATGCTATGAGAAGGTCTAGAGCTTCCCCCACACACTGGCAATTACACCAGCATCCTTTTTTAAGTACATTTCTTAATACCAAATGCCAGCTGCAGCTAGGAGAAAAATGTTAATTGATGAGTTATTTGATTGTTATTTGATATTTCGTGCAAAGCAGCAATGCCTCAGCTGGGCACTTCGGTGGCAGCCAAGTGGATTCTGCTCCTGACTTTAATAGGAGAAGAATCAGGACTGTTTGTTAGAGCTGTTTCTTAAAAGGGAAACTTACTGCTTACTGAAGAAGCGGATATGAAAAGCACAAACTTGTTCTTTTCTTGCCAAGAACTGTACAGATTATGTCACTGTATTTATTTAAATCTTGTTTCCATTATTTAGTTTCTCTGCTTTTCCCCCCTACTCTGCATCTGGTTCTCAGGCGCTCAGACGGGGCTGGGCTACAAACCCTGCAGGGAAAAGCTCAAACCTATAAAAAAAGATATAATTTAGGGTAATATATGTTCTTATTTGTGTATTATTGATATACAGTTGTCAGTTATTGATTTGAGGGAGCCCTTCAAAACAGTTGAATAGTTTTGCAGGGCTCCTATATTTAATGAAACTATGCAATCATTAATTTTTTAGGATTTCCTCCTACTTGCACACCTGGAGGCAGGAGATTAGACCCTCCCTGCAGCTCTGCAAATGCCACAGGTATTTCGCTGTTCCCAGATTCCCAACAGACAGACAAACGGACAGACGCACACACACACAGTCCTTGCTTGTTTATCGGGCACCTGGTTAGTCATTCCAGTTTACCACACGCTCCAATATAAAGGGGTAATTTTCGGATGTGCTCGATTCCAGCACGGAAACCATCCCAGTATCAGGCTCAAAAATCCGTTTGCAAGTGTGCGAAACACGAGCAGAGCCTTAAACGTGAATGACAAAAAGAATTTATTGGAAGTGGAGCCTCTTCGCTGTTTAAAGGGGCTAAACCTCATTCTATGTGCAGAACCACCGGCTATGTGGGATTATTTTTATTTTATTCCACCAGACATCGCAATTATTCATACACAGCGGACAAGTCCCCGGGCGGCCCGCCGGGCGCCATGACACTCTGCTCCCCGAGGGGCGGGGTGTGGGTGTCATGGCGGCCGGGGGCGGACTACAACTCCCAGGACGCACCGCGCGGCCAAACCAGAAGGCTCTTAGCGGGGAGGGTACGGACTACAACTCCCAGGGTGCACCGCGCAGAAAAAGGAATGCGTTGCTGCGTGTTTTGAGCGGACTACAATTCCCAGTATGCCCCGCGCTCCCACTGACGTCACCCCTTCCCGCGCAGGCGCAGAGCGCGGTGGATGCTGTGAGGAGGAGGAGGAGGCGGCGATGGCGCTGAACAAGAACCACTCGGAGGGCGGAGGCGTCATCGTTAACAACAGCGAGAAGTGAGGTGCTATCCCCTTCTCCCTTCCTCCGGCCGCGGCGGCCGGGGGGTAGCGCGGAGCTGCCTTCCCCCCCCGCCCTCCTCCTGCCTTCCCCCTCAGCGGGAGCAGCTGTCTGTGGGCAGAGGGGTGGTGAGGGGATGAAGAGGTGCCGGCGTTGCTCGTCCTCCCCTCGTCTCCCTGCGGGTTTCGGGCTGTTCGCACCCCCCTGCCCCAGGGCCTTCCCGGGGGGAGCTGTGCTGGGCCTCAGCCGCGGGCCCCGCGCCGCTCCCCACAGTGTCCCGCCCGTCCCCCGCCTGCTGCCGTCTCCCGCCGCCATCCCCAGTGCCCAGGGAGGGCTGGCAGAGCCCAGCTCCCACCCGGGTGGTCTGGGATCCCCCCTCGGGGATGCTCTTGCCTGCTGCACCTGCATCGTGTCCCGGTTCAGAGGCCCGGCGTGGTTTGCTGGTTCCTGGCCCCGTGTGTTGGGGAAGGAGCAGCAGCGCTGGAGAAAGGTGCTGGGATATAACCATGGAAACGGCAAGCCTGCACAGAGCTGCCTCTGTGTGCGCGGCCAAGGGCTGCCCGCACCCTCTGTCTGGGTCTGACGTGGCAGTCACAGGAGTCCTCTGCCTCGGGGGCAAAGGAGGGAGGGCTTCATCCTTCAGGGCGTCTTTCCGTGGGGCCAGTTAAGCGTCGGCGTAGGAATTCTGTGCCCGACTTCCCCTTGGGATGTGGCCTTTCTTGGAAGAATTTCATAAGATCGACTCTGGTGCTTGAATTTGCATTTGCTGAAACTACTGCAGCAGCTTAAAAGTGTTGCTGTTCCCAGCTGTGAGCCTGCCCTGGATCCGGCGCTGCCTGTCCTGTGGCAGTCTAGGCTGATCCAGCTGGAATGCTGCAGCCTGGGCAGAGCTGGCCCCTCTGTACTTCCAGAACTTTTCCTGGAGGGACAGGTACTTGCTGGCAGAAAGCAAAGGCGAGTGACTGAGGATGGAAACACGCCAGCTGCCAAAGATAGAGGTGGTGGAGGTTTCTGCAGCTTTAGGGATTACAGTCCCTAATGTGGGTGCTGTTGTGTCAATACAAGTTACCTGCTGTGTCCGTGCAAGGTTTTAATCAGGTCAGTTTCTAACTGAGAATTAAGGAATCGGTGCAGGCAACACGGGTTAATGAGGTCTTGTGGAAAGGAAGGGGGAGTTCCTTTTGGTCACATTTTTGTGACAGACGTGCTTGAGCTGTGGTGAGACCTTCAAAAACCAGCGTTGCATAAGCCAGGCTGAGCAGTTCCTGCTCCTGCAGCCCTTCCCCTGTCATGTGGGAACTGAATTAGGGAACTGACCCAGCAGAAATGCAACACAACTTCAAAAATAAATAAATAAATAAAAGGAAAGGAAAGGAAATGTCTTGAGGTCTTGATCAGCTCAATTGAGTGGATTCCCTGCCCGGCTACACAGACAGCAGCAGCTGTGTCAGCACACCGAGGAGGGAACAAGCAGCCAGTGCTCCTTCAGTTGCTGCTGCCAACAGAATAAAAAAGCAAACCAGACTGATGTTGTCTGCTCAGCACGGGCCTGAGGGAACAGGCAGGTTTGGTAGGTCAGTAAACTTTGTGTGCATGTTGCACTTCTACCTTGGGCCTTAACACTTGTCTGTTCTCTCGTGGTTGGCAGTGTTCTGATGACGTATGACCATGTAGAAATCACCTTCAGTGATATGGAACCGATGCCAGAGGCCTTCAAAGGGACCAAGAAAGGGAGTGTTTTCCTGACTCCCTACCGGGTAAGTGGTGAAAGGCTTTGTCCTGGGTAAGGAGATAAAGGCTCTCTGCCATTCTCTATTTAAACGTCCTCAATGCATGAAAGTCGGGATAATCTACTCCTGCTTGAAGTGGGGCTCATCCCTCTGCCTCTGGGAAGCATTATGAATTCATTGCATATCCCACCTATTTGTCAAAACATAATAAATCTGATTAGTCCATGTACAGGCAGCTGTTTAGTCCATCAGGCATCTTCAAATTGGAAATTAGCAATGGTCTGGAAATGCTGAATGCAACAGCACAGCTACTAAATCATAGCTGTGTGGAGCAGTGGTTCTCTGGAAGCTGGGAGGAGTATTATCTGAGCAAGGCACTTCTTGGAAGGCCTTATTACCTTGAGGCTTTGGTTTACCCCTGTGGCTGTTCTGTGTAGCTTTTGGCTTGCAGGACTGATGATGTGGGAGGGAGTTTCAGTCCATCAAAAGTCTCTTCAGGTAATAACTCAGAGCTGTACTTCCTGCTTGTTTTGAGGAGCTTTTGTAATGTTATTCCCTTTTCAGGTTATCTTTGTGTCCAAGGGGAAGGATGCAATGCAGTCTTTCGTGATGCCCTTTTATTTGTTGAAGGATTGTGAGATTAAGCAGCCAGTGTTTGGAGCAAATTATATCAAGGGCACAGTGAAAGCAGAGGCAGGAGGTATGTATGGGACAGGGTATGTTCTGTGTCTCAGTTCAGCTGCTCAATTCCTGACAAAGTCCTGGGTAACCAAAACTGAACACTGACCAAATGGGTTTTCACAGTCCTGATAAAATGTGTTTCTTTCTTTGAAACTGGCAGCTAAAAATATTCCCCTTATCAGCTCCCTGTTCAGTTACAGTGACCAGGTCTGCAACCCACCTCATTCCTGCAAAATACTGAGTTCACTCGACCAAGTGATCTCAGCAAATAAACATCAGAGTGGAGTCAGCAAGTGAGGTGTGATTTTGCTTTGGTCACTTTGGGTCACCTGTCTCACTTGCATCCAGGTCCTCCTGTGCCAAGGACTTGGATCCTTCCTGGATTTGTTTGTGTTCTCAGGTGCAGATCCCCAGAGCACTGTTCTCCATCATGTTTCTTGTGCTGTTGCTGTGGTGCATCCTGGCAGTGAAAATGGCACTTGGAAGAGAATGGACTCTCTTGAAATTAGGGGGAATCTTCGAGGGGCTGTTTCACATTATGTTCAATGAGAAGGCTGTGGCAGATGTTTCAAGAGTAATTTTGAGTTTGACCATTGTTTTTACCAAAGGCACAGAGTTCAGCAAACTTTCATCCTCAGCTTTGTTCAGTCTGTTAGTTGTGGCACGGAAATCACAGCTCAGGGCTTAGGAGCCTTCAGCTGTAACCCTGAAATCAGCATTGGAACCTCTGTGTGGGAGCAGAGTGGGGCCATCCAGCGTGAGAGGCAGCCTGAGCAGTAAAGACAAACTAAATTGTGTGAAAGGCAAAGGGCTTTAGCTAAATCTTTGTG